GGTCATCGGTGCCGAGTACTGTTACTACCGTATTCCCATGAAAGGGCTTCCAGTTCGCGACTAGCCCAATTAATGCCTGCTTGTCACTGGCGACCAGGTTGACGCCGGCGACACCGACGACATCATTGGAATCCCACATGCGCTTCTGGAACGGAAGTCCATTCAGGCCTTCGCCGTCGACACCGATGACGCCGCCGACACAGGACCTGGAAAGGAGCAAAACGACACAGCAGTGAGGAACAAATATTATCAGAAGACTGTTGGCTACCGTGCGGAACCAGAAACCTGGCATCAACAGCTCGGTCACCCCTCACACGTGACACTTAAGAACTCCCTTCGGGCCGGTGTCTTCGACGACGGAGCCTTGCTTCTCCCTCGCGAAGGCTCCCTTACAGTGGACTCAGAAGATCCACCCTGCACCGTGTGCCCCGCTGCGTCGCTCGCCCACAAACCTTTTCCCGACTTACCGCTTGGTTACGAACGCTACAAACCACTTGATAAGGTCTACAGTGATTTCATGAATCTCAGCCAAGGAGGGCTCAACGGCGAAATCTACACGCTCACCTTCATCGACGCAAGCACCCGCTACGTCTGGGCTGTTAATACTGACTGCAGATCCCTCACCTTCGAGTGTTTCATCGCGCGGATGAAGCGGGCTGAACGACAACCAGGGCTGAAGTTAAAGAACTATCAGACAGACCGAGCTCTGGAATTTTTTTCAGACGAGTTCAAGGAGCTCTTCAAGCAGAAAGGGATTGAACACCTGGTGTCCTTCACCTACGCTCACGAGCAACAAGGAGTAGTAGAACGGACAAACAGGAGCCTCACCACCAAGATGAGGGCCCTGATGAAGCAGTCGGCCATCCCAACCAGGTACTGGCCGTTCGCGATGAACCATGCAGTCCGGCTGCACAACTTGCTGTCCTCACGAAGCCTTGAGAACAACAATTCTCCTTATAGGGCCTGGACGGGCAGAAAAGCGGACACGCATCTTCTTCGGGTGTTCGGCTGCATGGTACAGTACAGGCCACACACGGCAAGGACCGGAAAGTTCGCTGACCGGGCTCGCTGGGGCATCCACCTCGGCATCGAAAGGGAATACAAGGCGTGGATCGTGCTGGACTACGCGACAAACGAAGTGACGAAATCACGTGACTGCATCTTCTACGAGAAGCTGACTGGTTCAACGAACACCGTGAAGCTGACAGGGGACCAGAAAGGGATTTCGAGGGACACCGCATCTTTGCGACTTCACACAATGAAGCTGACCTGGCAGAAGATGTGGATGCAGCAAATGTTACCCAGTTTGACAGTTCACCCAACATACCCCTTACAAGCCCACTCCAGACTCCAACCTTCATACCTGTACACCACTTCGATCCCGACGATACAACTCGCGAAATACCCTTCTGTTCGGGAAAAGTCTGCAGCTTCGGTTGCTGCTGTTCATCTGGAGAATCAAAAGCGTATCCAGAAGGACTTCATCGCTTCGAAGGAGATGGAGGTCGAGGAGATTTTGGCGGCTTCTAACCTGCACGTGACGACTCTGGCGACAAAGCTTGAGGACTACCTGAAAAGTCTCTCGGAGAACCCTGACCTGGCGGTATCTGATGCTACCAGGGAGAAGTACAGGAAGATCAAGGGGGCCTGCATCGAGAAGGCGCAGTTCAACAGCGATGCCCGCCAATCCCCGGATGCCGAGTTACCACCACCAAACACCTCGCAAGACTCCCTCCCCCTCGGCAACGACAGCGACGACGACGTAGTCAAAGTAACCAGCTTCCACGACTACGATCGCCTGCACTACGAAAAGACCAACGAAACCGGTCTCCGCATCCTAGGGCTCGCAGTCGCCATTCGCCACGACTCTCCCAAAGAGCCCACCACCGTTCGCCAATCCCTCTCTGGCCCCGACAGTGAGAAATGGAAGGCAGCCATGGCTAAAGAGGTTGCGGCGCTTAAGAACCGCGGAACATGGAAGCTGGTTCCCCGAACATCAGCGAAGGGGAGAAGAATCCTCAGCGGAAAATGGGTCTTCTGCATCAAAACACTGTCAGATGGGTCCATCGACAAATAAAAAGCACGATAGGTGGTGCGCGGCTTCGAGCAAACTCACATCGTGGACTTCGACCTTACCTACGCACCTGTCGGGCGGCACACCTCCGTGCGTATCCTCATCTGCATCGCAGCCGTCAAACAGCGCCCACTCCGTCAAATCGATGTCGGCAGTGCATTCTTGTATGCTCCAGTCGACGCCATCATCTTCGTCGAGCAGCCGCATGCCTTCGAGGAAAACGATGGCGCCGCCTGCCTGCTTCAGAAATCTTTCTATGGGATTAAGCAAGCGCCTCGCCTGTGGCAGCAGTACCTGCACACCGTACTGACGGAGCTCGGATTCAAACAACTGCCACACGACCTTGGAATGTACCGGAAGGAATCACGCGGCAAATTCATCCTCCTCGTCGCCTACGTCGACGACCTCCTCTACACCGGTGACGACACGGAGCTGCTGGACCAGTTCGAAGCGGAAACCAAGGAAAAGCTGGAGGTCACAATCAATCACGACGTGACACAGTTCCTGGGTCTCAACATCACCCAGTCTGCCACCTCCATCCACCTCTCCGCTGCCAAATACGCCGAAACACTCGCGAAGAAATTCGTCATCGCACCCATCAACCTCACTACCCCCTTTCGCACTCCTCCTCCTAATCACGAACCAGACACCATGCCTCTCTCTCTCTCTCTCTCTCTCTCTCTCTCTCTCTCTCTCTCTCTCTCTCTCTCTCTCTCTCTCTCTCTCTCTCTCTCTCTAATGGTCCTTGTATTGATAGGGAATCAAAGTACATGCATGCAGGTTCATGGAATACGAGAACAAAGCTTGCAACACAACACATCCTTCCAACTACTGTCCCTAGAGCTCTAGGTAGGGCTCAACCACCGCAAAGCAATCCCCCGGGTGATATTCCTGACCGATTCCTCCTACAGGCGGGTTCTCTGCAGCCGCCGCCTCGCCCAGCTTGAGAAGGAGACCCACCGATTGGGCTCTCTGAAGGGCCACTGACCAGCGCTGCCGGAATAAGTGCAGAAACTTGGCGGCATAAAAGGATTTAGAGTCGGCGTTGAAGTGCCGCCGAGCCGCTGTATCTGCGAGGAGCTTCAGGAAGACCGGGACTTCCGCGCACGGGCAGCCATAGGTGTCCACCGCAAGTGGGAAGAAACCCACTGTCTCTGGCCGATTGGCATAGTGTTTGATTTTCTTATCCGCCTGCTCCCGAGCCGCCCAGCCCCTGCCCTTCTCTGCCATAGGATCCCTCGTGCTAATGGGATCCGTGACCGTCACGTCACACACATAAACCGCCCCGCTGCTTCTGTCGGTCATGGTGAAGTCCGCTGTTTGTTCCTCGATGGGGCAGTAAACTGCCGACTCACTGTGAACAATGAAACCGGCGTGCTGTGCCATGCTAATGCATGCATCGCGCAGCTCGTTGTGTGTGTTAATGCGATGCTTGCCCGTGCCGCAGCGGAGGAGATGGTTCGGGAGGCGGGGATCTGTGATAGCTACCTGGTCCGCGCAGTCACAGTTTTTGGGCGTTGAAAAGGGGAGACCCAGCCGAAACCGTACGGCGTTTGTGAAATGAACAGGGCCTATCCGTCTGGTGGCCTCAATTGGGATCGCAGTCAGCCAGTCCCCGGTGGCGTACCCAGTCATCGAGAACATCCGCTGCGTGTGGCCAAAGAGAGGGTTCGGCTGCATGTCCCGAGTGGCCTGGACTTGCACCGCGTATCTGCTCCCGTGGACCTTCAGGCCGAGCACGTGCTGGAGCCTAATATCCGAACGCTCCAGCCGTTCCTTCTCTAGGATCTCTCGCGCGTCTAGAGGCAGGGCTGCTTCGCACTCCGTGAGGCATGAGTGTAGGGGGGTGCCGTCTTCCCTAGGCGCCAGCATGTGGTTCCTGGCCATCATCAAAACACTTTCTGGTTCTAGCGCGAGAGAGGAGAGGAAAAGCGCCGCCTGGGTAAAACTTGCGGCGAAACCGTATATTCCTTCGACGAGCGGATCCGTAATTCCTATGCCACCCTGTTCATCAAGCGTCTTCATCTTCTGAAGCTTGGACTTCGCCTTCAAGAGTGATTTGAAATCCGCCCGAAAACCCTTGACCGCCACAGCAGTCCAGCCTTTAAAGCGCTCAGGAATGTTGAACTGCTCAGGAACAGCCGGGTTAGCGCTCGTGGAAGCAACAGCAGGTGCTACCGCAGGAGCAGCGTTCGAAGCGGGATCCATCTCCATGGCGGGAGGAGAAAATGTTTGCTCGCCGTGCGATGTCGGTCCGCGAGTTGGTGCAGTATGTTTTGCTCCTTCAAGTTCGCGAAGGCGTTGTCGCTTGTGCGTGCGATACCCCGCGTAAGTCTTGGGAACACCTGCCTCGTGGATCACAATAGCAGAACTGCCCTTGTTAAGTTCGGCGTCGTCTGAGTCAAGCGTAAGTGCCAACTGGTCTTGGGACATGTTCTCAGCGAGCAGCAAACTTATTCAGGCTTAAAGCAAAAGATAGACAGTAAAAACCCTTCTGTAAAACTTAGATCTCAACAATCCGAGCTCAAGAACTTCAGCAGTAGAGTAAAACAAACATGTTTCGGCCGTTAAGGGGCTACCCTAGCAGGCCTTCATCAGTGCTAATGAAAGAAACAGAGCTAAGCTACGCTTCAAGAAGAAACGAAGCCTCAGAAAAACTGATCTCTATGTTATCTACACCAGGTCAGTCCGAAATACGGGGACCAGTACATGTCACCCTTGAAAATTTCTCAGGTGGCCACGTCCTCAATCCTTGGAGCGTCGTCGTTGAAGTTCGAATTCGCATCCTCGCCAGGCAGCAACTGTGGAAGTCGCGCGCGTACCAGTAACCTGTTAAGGTTACAACCAATTTGCCATGCAACAAAAATCCTCTCCACATATAATCCGCGTGTAGTGAGTCGATTTTTGAGTCGACTCAAAAATCGACTCACTGCAGCCGCTGCGGTGAGTCATGCCGCATGTCCTTGGCGCCACTGAGCTCTCGCTGCAGACCCACATGCAGAGCAGCAGGGGGCAGAGGCGCCATGGCAGGGGGCATGCGGCGGCCAGGCAGGGACAGAGCGAAGGGGCTGGAAGGGCGAGAGGCGGCATGGGCGATGCGGCACACAGCGGTGGCGCCCTCCCTCCACACACACACGTGCAGCAGCAGCCAGTTCCCCCCGCCCTCCACCGCCCCGCTGCTGCCGCCACACGGCACGTGCAGCAGCAGCTCCCCCTCGCCCTCGCCCTCCCTTTCCCCCCGCCCTTGCCCCACTGAGATGGGCTCGCTCCACTCCTGCGCCCCCTCTGCCCGCACACAGATGCCCCCTGTTGCTGCTCGCCCGCCTGTGCTCTTTTGTGTTATGCGCCCATCGCCTGAGATGCGCTGAATGTGGGCCATGACGGCATCGTCCGTCTCCTCGTCCAGGTTCAATGCACCGGGTATCAGTGGACGCGTATGAGCATGTGTGTGCTTGCGGTGGTGCTGTGAGCGGCCATGCCACTTGCGCTTCTTGATGGCCATTCCCCCCACCACCCCCGCCTGCATCCACTCACTCCCCTCACGCCCTCCCTCGCTGCCCCCACTGCCACTCGCATCATTGCGCCTTGCATCCGCAGCACCGCCACTGTCGGCAGCGGCACTAGCAGCAGAGGCAGCAGAGGAAGAGGGGGTGGGGAGAGGCAGGGCGGCAGCATGGAAGGCAAGTGACCGCCCCGCCCCCACTCGCGCTACAAAGGCGTCTGCCTCATCGGCCGCCCCCCTCACGTCCACACACACACCTGTCTCGTTCTCAATGCGCCACGGCGGCTGTGCATCCACGTGCACCACTAGGTGCGGCTGCCACGTGGCGCCCTCTGATTGGCCGGCGGAGGGCAGGAGGGAGGCGGTGAGGAGGGCGGCATGGCAGGTGCCAGAGGGGTCGGGGAGGAGCAGGCGCTGCGAGACTGCGAAGCGGGAGAGAGGCACGGGCGGCGACCAGAGCAGCGGGCATGAATGGGAGGGGCGAGCAGGCAGAGAAGATTCGTCATGTAGGTGCTGGTTGTGCTGGTAGCGCTGCTCACTGCCACACACTGCTGCTGCTGCTGCTGCTGCTGCTCCCCCTTGCTCTCTTGCCTCAGCAGCACATGCACGTGCCGCCATGCCCAGGCGCACTCCTCCCAGCGCTGCCAGCCGCCTATCCCACCCGTCCTCCCCGCCACCTCCTCTTACCCCTTCGCCTCCTGCCTTCCCCCTCCTCCTCCTCTGCTTCTGCTTCTGCCGCTGCTTCCATGCAACACCACCACCACCAATGTCACGATCGCTTCCCTCTCCGTCCCTCTCACTGTCACTCTCACTGCTGCCACTGCTGCTGCTGCTGCTGCTGGAGGCAGAGGAGTCAGGCAGAGAGGGCGAGGAGGAGAGGAGGGGTCGCCAGGGGAAGAGCGTGAGGGGCAGGCAAGTAGCACCGGGGGGACACAGACCAGCGGAGGCAGGCAGGGCGGGAGGGGTGTGGTGCAGCGAGGATGGGCGCAGGGGATGGGGAGGGGCAGGGGGGGGATCATCTAGGAGGAAGTGGAGGGGGAAGGGCGTGAGGTTGGAGAGCAGGGCGGCGGGCAGCACAGAGAGGTGCGTGGTGTGCGAGGGGAGAGGGCAGACAGGCTGAGAGGGAGACGTGGGGGTGGGAGCAGAAGGCGGATGGGATGATGGGAGGGGGACGTGGGAGACGGAGAGCAGGCAGTGCAGGTGCGAGGGGCCGTGAGAGCTGAGCGTCACGATGGACACCCGCTCACTGCTGCCCCCGCCCCCTGACCTCTCTCCCTCCGCCTCCCCCTCCCCCCGCACCAGCACGGTAGACGACCACGCCCATCCTCGTGGTTCCCCCTCCCCCCCACCTCCGCCCCCCATCCCCCCACCGCTACCCATGGATGCCTCCAACCCTCCTGGCACCCCAAGCCGCACTGACCACCCCCGAGCATGCCTCCTAGGGTTGGCACCCGGGCCAGATGCAGTAGTGGGGGTGGAAAGAGAGGAGGCGGCAGCAGAGGAAGCAGGGGAGAATGCAGTTGGCGTAGAGGAGAGGGAGGGGGAGAGGAGGGCGTGGGAGAGAGAGGGCCAGGCGAAGGGGCGGGAGTGGGAGGGGGGAATGACGAGGTCGGGGCAGGGGGCGTCGTGCAGGGCGAGAGCGAGGGGGAAGGGCAGGTGGTTGTGCAGCACTGCCACGGGGTGCACTGAGAGCAGCAGCGCTGGCACGGGCGGTGGCAGGGGCGCATCGGCTGGCAGGGCAGCGGCGGCAGCAGCGTGAGCACATGGGTGGTGAGAGGGGCGATAGAGTGATGCTGCCAGCACACAGAGGAGACTCTGCTTTCACAGAGGGGCAGGGGACCGCGCACGGGAAAGAGGAGGGAGACAGAATGAGAGAAACACAAAACGGCTTACTGATCCCAGCGGAAGACGCGTGTGTGATGGTGCTAACGATGCTGTGCGGTGCGGTGCAATGCAGTGCAGTGCGGTGAGAAGCAGCAACTGGTGGATGCTCACCTCGCTATCCGCCTGTGGAAGCCACACGGCATGCCGCTTCCCTACAGCTGGAATCGGCGAATCCCAGCGCGACACATCAGCATTGCCTGCAGACCAGTCAGTGATGTCACCCCGGCAGCTGGCAGAGACAGTGGCTGCTTGCTGGTCGGGGGCGGCAAGGGAGAGCGCAAGGGGTGCGCTCCACAGGGAGGCTTCAGCACAGGGATGTGCGGGCGGGTGGAGCGAGGCAGCAGCAGTCCAGCTGCCACTGGTGCCATGGCTGGTTGGCGTGTGTGCTGCAGCAGTGGTGGCGGGAGTGCAGGGCAGTGCGAGCTGCAAAGCACACTCTTCCCACATGCCACCGCCCACAGCCACCTCCTCTGCTGTCCCCACTGCCACCTCCGCCGCCCCTCTGTCCCGCTCCTGCTGCTGCTCCTGCTGCTGCTCCTCTTGACAGTTCCCTTCCTTCAACCTCTCGTGTCCGTCCTCGCTACATTTCGTGGTGGACGCGCCCTGCAGGGGCAGAAGGCGTGCGCGGAGGGGCAGCGGCAGGGCGTTGCAGAGGAGGGCGGCAGGCCAGAGCTCCACACACAGGGGACCCTGCCAGCGGCGCAAGGGGTCAGGCGCACTGCTGGGGGGCGCGGTGGGGAGTGAGGAGGAGGAAGGGGGAGCTGGGAGGGGGAGGATGGAGGAGGGCAGCATGAGGCGCACCCACACACTCTCTCGCCCGTGTGGCGGTGGGGGTAAGGGCGGGCCTGAGACGGGAACACAGGCATCAGTGGTGAGCAGGAAGGTGAGCGAGCAACCATCACTGCCATCCACCACTGCTACCGCTCTTTCACACTCTGCTGCCGCCATATCTCCCCCGCCTTTCCTGCCCGTTGTCCCCCCCAGCCCCTTCCCTGGGTGGCTCGCAGAGGGCAGGCCAAGGCAGCCGGGCGCAACAGCAAGGGGGGCGGACCAGCGTGCCTCCCTTGCCAGCCACACACGCACCACCACAGCTGCCCTGCCAGCGCCCGTGCCCCTCCGAGGCAACGACTCCTCCCTCTCCTCTGCTGCCTCCGTCTCCCCTCCCTTGGCTCCCCTCACCTCCACGCCCTCTGACTCCTTGCCCCCATTCACCGGCTCATCCCCTCCCATGCCCCCCCTGCCACCGCGCCTCCTCTCTGCCACCAACACGTGCCTCACATGCCCCCTGCCACCCTTCCTACGCCCCTCCAACTGCAATCTGCATGCTTCGCCCTCCCCTCTGCTGCTGCTGCCCCCCACTGGCAGCACGGGGCCCTGCATCTCCACTGCCAATCCCTGGCTCGTCTGATTCAATATAAGCACATTCGGTGTGAAGAGCACGTGCGCCAAGCAGCCACGATTGGGAGTGATGGTGACTAAAACGGAGGCAGTGAGGCGGCGGTCTGGGAGCACAGGAACAGCGAGCAGGAACGAGTGCCGCCCCCCTGTGTCCACCTCAAACGGCGCTGACCAATCACCACGTGCCATGTCATCCTTTTCAGCTGCTCCACATGCATGCTGCGCACTCCATCTATCGCCTCCAATGCTCACCCCCTCCCACCCTTTTCCTTCTTTCCCTCCCCCCACACACTTTTCATCACTCCTCTCTGCCCCTTGTGCCCCATCTCCCCGCCCCTCAATTCCATCTCCCCGCCCCTTTCCCTCCCATTGGCTGACGCGCGCACGCAGCTGGCACACGGCGCCCGGCACAAGCGAGGGTGGGCGGCACCAGCTGTAGCCTAGTGAGCAGCCGGGCGGCAGGGGGATGGCCTCTTGTGTGACGTGCTGACCCAGGTGGAGCAACACGGGGCATCTGTTCTCCACAGTGTACCCGAACAGAGGGGGGGATGGGGATGTGAGGAGCGGGGGAGAGGACGGCGCCTGTGATGGCATTCCTCTTGGGCTTTCCTCCGCCGCCCCTTCACCCGCCTCTGCTGCACCACCCTCATCCACCTCACTCGTCCCCAAAGCCAACCCCTTCTGCTCACTCTCTTGCACTCTCCCATCTCCCTTCATCTCCTCCTGCTCAACCTCACCCCTTTTCTCTCTCCTCTTCTCTGCTTCCCCCAACCCCCTCTCACCTCCGCCCACCTCGCCCTGCCCGGTGCCTGTCTGGCTCCCTTGCCCCGTCCATGCGAGCAGCAGGCGCTGCAGCGCTCTCAGGGACGCCGCCCTCACATGCACCGTCGCCCCATGCTCCTCGCCCCCCTCGCCCCCACCCCCACTACTACCCCCCTTGCTGCCACTGCTGCCCCAGTTGCTGCCACTGCCGCCTGTGTTGGAGCCCCTGCCACCGCGTCCAACCTTGCCTCGCCCACCCGCCCTTGAGCTGTCCCGTGCATGCCCGCCCGCCTGCACGGCCACCGCCATGCCCAGCGAGCACGGTGGCGCGTGCACGTCCAAGGGGTCGCGCGGCCCACACGGGGCACGGGGCGAGGAGGGCGGGGAGGGGGAGGAGTGGGAAGAGTGGGAGGAGTGGGCGTGAGGGGGAGAGGAGGGCTGGCGAAGGGGTGAGGCGGGGTGGGGAGGGGAGAAGAGGGAGGAGCGGGGGGGGTGGCGGTGGTGGCGGGAGAGCAGAGCGGGCGACCAGAAGGGCTTCCACAGCACGTTGAGGGAGGCGCGCAGGGGGAGCGGCTCCAGCACTGGCAGCTGGTGGGAGGGCGATGGGAGGGGCACGGGTGAAGAAACGAACAGTGAGTACGACGAGAGGTAGGGGGGTACGAACGGCGTGTGAGAAAGTGATGTGTTGAGAGTTGATTTCAATTGCACCCATGCATGTGCCAACCTGGCTGTATGCCCCTCGTGCACCCCTCCCCACCAACCTGAGTGAGGTCGCTGGCATCAACGGCATCGGCACACACGGTGGCAGCAGCGTGCAGCGCCCACATGTGCACGCACACGCGCACGCCCTCCCCGCCCACCACCACCGCCTCCCTCATCTGCCCCTCGCCCGCATCCACATCCTCCACCACACGCACCACCACCAGCCGCCCGCCCAACCCAATGCGCAGGAATGGCACGAGGGGCGGTGAGGGCAGGCGTGGGCGTGTGTGCGGGCCGGCGCTGGTGGGGTTGATGAGCAGACGGGCGAGCAGCAGCGAGGCGGGCAGCACGTGCGTGTCCAGGGGGGCGTTTAGCATGGGGCCCGCGGGCAGGGCGGGGAAGGCGCGCGGCATGCCCTGCGTGGCAGGGGCGTGGGCTGAGGCGGCAGCAGCAGTGGCGGCGGCAGTGATGGTGGCAGCAGCGTGCGAGCCGTACACGGTGGAGAGCAGAGAGATTGCTCCGGTGAGGGAGGCAGAGGGGGCAAACAAAGGCACAGAGGAGGCGGCATCAGCTGCGGGTCGGGTGGGTGCATGCATGGCAGCGTGAGCGGGGTGGTGACCTGCGGGTGCGGAGGGGTGCATGACGTCAGCGGGGTTGAGCGGCACGAACCACGAGAGCAGCCACAGCTCCGCCTCGCCCTCCCCCTCGCCCTCCCCCTGCTCCGGCTCCGGCTCCAGCACGATGGGGCGGCACGGGGGGCACGCGGGGCAGGTGGCGTGGGCAGCATGCAGAGCGCAGGGCGAGGGGGAGGGCGGGCAGAGCACGGGGGGCAGGGCGTCGTGGAAGGTGCGGTGGGCGGGGTGGAAGCGGGCGAGGCGCAGCGCCATGGGGGGCAGCCGCCAGGCCAGGGGACCGGCAAGGAGAGGTGCCGTGATGACCAGTTGGTGCACTGCACGCGGGTAGGGGTAGCTGGAGGGAGGGGAGGGAGGGGGGGGTAACAGAAGTGGGGAGGATTGGGATTATAAGCTCATGAATGGCTGGGCAAGAAAAGCAAGTGAGGAGGGCGAGGGCGAGCGAGTACTTCAAGAACACATCCGTTGAACGGTACAGCGATGTGATGCTAGGGGAAGAAAATTCATTAGAATAACTTGCGAGCCGTGAGGAGCCAGTTTGTGACAGGGTCCTAGTTCTTGCTCATGCCTGCCCCCATGAACCGCCATGCCACGCACATGCCATGCCACGCACATGCCATGCCCTGCACATGCCATGCCACGCACATGCCATGCCCTGCACATGCCATGCCCGGCACATGCCATGCCCTGAACATACCGCCATGCGATCCAGCCTTCCCCAAAGCAGCTGTTGCTGAGCGGCCTGTCTCTGCTGGCCACGCCCTCCCCCCACGCCACCTGCCCCGCCCCCACCTCCTCCCACCCCGCCACCCCCCCTTGCACCCTCCCCTCCCCCCTGCTGCACTCAAACGCCCCACTGCGCAGGTCGTCACTCGGCGCACCCTGCACCTCGATGCTCGCCTGCACCTCATGCGCCACCCGCACGGACCTCGCTGCCGCCCACGCATCCCGCAGTGACCTGGCGAGGCGGATGAGCGGCAGCAGCACCTTGGGGCAGAGGCGGGGCGAGGCGAAGTCGGCATGTATGGTGAGGCGCAGGGGGAAGGGGGTGCCCAGGGCTGTGATGTGCAGTGCGGTGGTGTGGGCGTGTGAGAGCAGCGTGGGGCTGGAGAGGAGGTCCGTGCTGCGCAGACGCACTGCGGTGTGGGCCGACTGGAGGTCGATGGTGGGGATGAGGAAGGGCGGCGGGGGGCGGTGCGAAGGGGGGTGTGAGGAGGAATGGGTGGTGGGTGGTGGGTGGTGTGTGGGGGAGGATGATGCGGCCCGGGCAAGAGGCATCGTGGGTGCCTGCGAACCGGCGGATGTCATGCAGTGAGGGCACGAGGGAGAGAGTGAGCGTGCAGCTCTCCAACTCCACTGACACGCCTGCTCCCCCTGCCACACCCTCCCTCTCCTTCTGCTCCCCCTGCTGCTCGCCCGGCTGCTGCGCGTCTCCCTGCCACGGTGGGTGGGGTTCGAGGTCATCTGAAGCGACCAAGTGGGAGGAGATGGAGAGGCGGGGCAGGCGGGACAGCGCTGAGGGGGACGACACACAGGCGGGCGGTGGGGAGGATGGGCACGGCTTGTGAGCGCGGGGAGTGTCAGTGTCAGGGGTGGGTGACCCTTCACAGCCTTGGGATGCGTGGAAGGCTTCCAAGGCTGAGAGCAGCGAGATGAGGGCGCCTCCACTCGCCACCTTCACGCCCCACAGCCGGGACACTGGTAGAGACCCTTTGGGTGGTGCGGCACTGCCCTCTCCCTTCCTAGGGGCTGCCTGCTTCTGTGGTGTGCATGAGCCGTGTTTGGGCATGCATGCCGGATGGTGGGTGGCAGAGCAGGCAGCAGCGTCTCTCCCTGTGTGCCGCGCAGACGATTGCTGTGGTGGTGGCGGGGGGGCGCGCAGGCGCGGGAGGACGTCGTACAGCGTGGCGATGACCTGCGGGCGGTGGCAGGTGTGGTGGAGGTGGAGGTGAGAACAGGGAGCAGAATGAAGGGCGAACAATGGTGACTGGTGCAGAGGGAGTGCGGCACGCACGCAGGCATTGAGAATCAGATCGGATGCGCGCGGTGAAAGACAAAGGTGTGGCAGAAAGCTGCACGTGAGAATGAGAAGCAAGAACGCGGCAAAGAGGAAAGGTGAGTCATGCATTCCAAACGCAGCAGATGTAACGCTGAAGACACATGCGACACGGGCAGCATCGCGTGGAGAGAGAGGGAAGAGGCAGAGCGAGCAGCGTGCAGGCAGTCACCTCGTGCACGAGGCGAGCGTCCGCCGCCACCATCAGTGGCTGTGCCTCCACCTCCACCCACCACCCCCCCCTCTGCTCTCCCTCTCCCTCCCCTACCCCACCCTGCGCCCTGCGTCCCGTTCCCCCTGTGCCCCCACCACACGGCCTCTCCTCCTCCACCACTCTCCACGTCATGCCTGCAGGGGCGCCTGCAGCAGCAGCAGGGGGGGTGGCAGGGTGAGCAGGGCAGCTGGGCTCTGAGTGCTGGTGGGGTGGCATGCCAGGCGGGTGTGCTGCTGCAGGGGAGTAGTGAGGAGGGGGAGTGTAGGAGGGGTGGTGAGGGGCGCGTGAGGAAGACGGTGAGAGGGCAGCGTGCGGCAGGGCGAGCAGAGTGAAGCGCTGCTCAGCCGCCCCTGCGGGTGCAAGCCCCGTGGCCCCGGGTGCTCCTGCCTGGCGCCTGCCCTGCCTCACCGCCTCCACTGCCACTCGCCCCACGCTGCCATGCACCACCGGCGGTGCTGCTGCTGCACCAGAGGAACAACCAGGGCGCGCATTGCCTGTGGACGGCAGGAGGGGGGCTATGGAGGCAGAGAGACAGCAGTGGGAGATGGTGGCGTGGAGGTGCGAGGAGGCACGGTGGGCCGAGTGGGCGCCGTGGAAGGCGCTGCTGACTGCCGGGGGGCTGGCTGCCGCCCATAGGGGCACGGCTGCTGTGCACTCCACCACTCGCATGCTGACACGTGTCACTGCACCGCTGGCACCGTTGACGCACCTGCTGCTGCTGCTGCTGCTGCTGCCCCTCTCTGTGCTGCCCTGCCTGCCCTGCCTGCCTTGCTGGGTGACAGCAGCAGTGGTGGCAGGTGGGCGCAGCAGAGGCAGCAGGGCGGTGGTGAGGTGGCGGCGCAGCAGCAGCAGGGTGTCGACCTGGTGGCGCGAGACAGTGACGCCCACCCGCTCCACCTGCAGTGCTCACAGGGACGGGTGTGGACGCAGAGGTGGGGGGGGTGAGGAGGAGAATGAGAAAAGCAGACGAAGGGAGGAAACGAGGGGCGTGGGGAGATATGAGGGGAGGAATTGCAGGAAAGGGAGGCAGCACCCACCAGCAGGTCAAGAGGCCGATTCTCATTGCATGGCCCTCCAGTGTGCGCACTGCACTGACACTGCTGCCCGTGATCATGCTGACATCGCTGCTGCTGCCTTTCCCAAACCCCCCACCGTCACTCCCTCCACCTGCACCAGCGAAGCCACGGTTTCTGAGCCAATCGCACGCAGCCACGTGTCCGTCTGTGTGCTCCCTGCAGCGCCGTGGCTCTCCTCTAGCGTGGCAAGGGGCGTGGGGGCAGGTGAGCAGGGCAGGCACGCCGTGCCCAGGTCCACCCACACGCGCTGCACGCACACCACAGGGGGCTCTTCCCCACCCTGCTCACCCCTCTGTGCCGCCGCCTCCCTTGCAGCGCTCCCACCCCGCCCCTCATTCACACATAGTGACAGCCCTCTCATGCCTGCCCGCCCCACTGCCACCCACACACCATGCCCCTCTACGCCCTTTCCCCTCGCCCCAACACCTCCCCCTTCACCCCCACTGCAACCCCCCCCATTGTGTGCGCTGCCACTGCTGTGGCCCCTGGCGCCCCTCAAGGGGCCTGCCACAATGCTCACACTGCCCCGCTGCACCGCTGCCTGCACCCATCCCACCCCACCCATGATCTGTGCTACTGCCCCCATTCCCCCACCTGCCAGCTTTCCCTTCCCTCCTCCCTCCTCTCCCCCTCCATCTCTTCTGTCTGCTCCCCTCTCCCCACTCGCCCCTGCTCCTCGGCCTTCTCCATCCCACCTGTCTCCACCGCTCTCCACCTCGATCTCCTGTGCTCTCACCACACTGCCAGCAGCCATTAGCCCGTGTAAGTGCACAAGAGGATCCGCCCACACCACCACCATGACGTCACCCAAGTGCAGCGTGACGTCAGCACCACTTGCAGCAGCGCTGGTGCCTGGGTGGGCGTGCTGCGCCGCAGCGGCTTGAGTGGAGGGTGGCAACATGGCAGGGCGCATGGGGGGGCGTGTGCCGATGGATGAGTGGAAGGACGCCGATAGGGCTGCTGAGGCGGGGGGCGACGGCTGTAGGGAGAGGCTGGGCGGAGCGGGTGGGGATGTGAGGGATGGGTGGGGGATGGGAGAGACGCAAATAGGATGAGAAGCACCGGGTACAATGTAGGTGGTGACATCGGAGTGGCGGACCAACACACAGTGGACACAGCGGAGGAGATTTAGAGGTCGTGTCATGGCAGCACACACACCCACACCTGAGTGCATGCAGTGCCTCCACCCACACCTGAGTGCATGCAGTGCCTCCACCCACACCTGAGTGCATGCAGTGCCTCCACCGATAGAGACTCAACGGACAGCTTCACCCACGTGTGCCCTCCATGCGCCTGCCCTCGCAGCACCGCCGGCTGCAGCCACGCCTCTCGCAGTGTGGGGCTGGCGGGCTGAGAGCGGCCGCTGCGCCATCCCCCTGCCAGCACCACACTGCACGCCCGCACATGGCAGAACGCCCCCACCTGCTGCTGCACGTGCTGCCAGCACCACGGGGAGTCAGTTGAGGGCTGTGGCGCTGCTGGTGGTGATGAGGATAAGGATGGCATGTGGCTCCACATTGACATCACCTCAGCTGCTGCCTCCAGGACGCGTGCGTGCTTAGCCACGCCCCGCAGCTCGCTTGCTGGCATGGCTGCTGGCACGGCTGCTGCAGCCTGTGCTGTTGCAGTTGACCCTGCCGTGCTGCCTGGTGGTTCTGCTACTGATGCCGTGGCGGCACCAACGCCACGTGCACTGCAGCTCACATCTCTGAGCGCAGCAGCAGCCATGGCCAGCAGAGAGGCGGCCTGTGGGCGGGAGACATGCAGAGAGACGGCATCCAGGCTGGCTTCCACCATACCCTCGCTTCCCCCCCTCGCCCCATGCTGCATGCCCCCCTCCCCCATCACAGCAAACCCGCCCTCAATCCCTTCCCCACCCCCACTGCTACGCGTTCCACCAGCAGCCAATTCAGGCCGCACAAATGATCCAGCTGGCGGTGCTGCTGCTGCCAGCCGTTGTGGCGCGGCTGGTGCTTGAGGTGACGAGGCGGCAGCAGCAGCAGCAGTGGACCACGTGCAGTCGACGCGGAGAGAGGCTGGGTGGAGCAGCGTGGCGGGGCACAGCTGCCATGGGCGGATGGGAGAGGGCGCGCAGGGAGGTCAGGAATGGGGGGGATGCCAGACAAGGCAAGGTGAGGGGAGGACAGGCGGGGAGAGTCCAGACTCTACAAGAATGCAGCTGTAGCCTTGCAGGCTTGATGGAGCTGAGGAGGGTAGACGTATGAGATGAAGGGAGTGGTTACGAGGGGGGGAGGACAGGAGGGAGGTACCTGGGCGTTGTCCAGAGAGTGCATGTGTGCCTGCAGCGTCACTGTCACCCGCGCCCTGCTTCCCTCACACGCCCTGCCATCGTCCCCCACCCATCTCGCTGGCCTCTTCCACACCGCCACTCGCCCCGTGCTCACACTCACACCCTCGCCCTCACCCTCACCCTCGGCCCCCCTCTGCAGCTTCTGCTCCAAGCCGCAGCTTCCCCCGCTACTGCTGCCAGCCATGCGCACAGTCACCCCGTCCCCTCCCACCTCGGCGCTGCTCACCCGCGCCACCCACCCCAACCATCCACCACCGCTGCCTGGGGACGAGGGAGTGGGGGCGAGAGGCAGTGGAGCTCTGGGCTCCTCTTGTGTAAGCCACCCGTCCCCTCTCACAGCCCCTCCCACTTCCCCACCTCCACCACCACGGCATGCCTGCACGTCCTGCCACCACCGCAGCACAGTGCTGCACATGCCCGGCCAGTAGGAGACTGCCACGAGTCCCACGTGTAGCGAGAGGCTGACGTCAGCAGTGAGCCCCAACGGCCCAGCAGCCTGCGAGGATTCAAACGCCTCTGCCACTCGCAACCCACGCCACCACACTCCCTCCACACTCCACCCCTCCTCACACTCCCCCACACTCTCCCCCTCCTCATCTTCCTTCCCTCCCCGACTCGCACTCCCCCCTGCTGCCCCTTGTCTTCGCGCCCCGCGAGCACCCGTGTGTTGCTCTCCCCCTGCTGCTGTGTGTGCAGGCAGCACGGCACCCAGGGGGGCGAGGGAGTGCAGCAGCGGCGCCTGCAGGCTCCCATACGACCCCACCGCGCCCTCCCCTCGGCCCCCCACTGCTGTTGCCCCTGCCTCGCCTGCCTGCTGCCGCGTGTGCAGGCGGAGAAGAGGACGGAGAGAAGACGGTATTACTGCTGCGGGATCCGAGCCACCAGAAGGAACATGTGTATCGGCACCTGAAGAGGCACCTGAAGCGCTGCTCCCTGGAACTGCCACAGCCACTGCCACGGGCCCCACCTTCACACTCGCTGCCTGCACCGCCCGGCCCCGCCCCTCCGCCTCCACCAGCACGGCCCCGAGCCTGCACTCCAGCTTCGGATAGCAGGCTGGGCCGGCAAGGCCCAGGTCAAGGCTTGGAGGTGCAGGTGCTCCGTGGCATTCGTCTGCAGTGAGGCCGGCGGCATGGCCCTCACAGCACACGGATGCGCCACCACTGCCATCCATGCCGTCGCCCGCACTGCTCACAAGAGACAGCTCAGCGCCCTCTAGCAGCGCAGCCACGGACCAATCAGTGGCTGCCAAGTCAAAGTGCACACCCGCCTCGTACCCCGTGGCCCACTCCCAGATCTCCTCACTCTCCAAACCACCACCCGCTGCTGCAGCAGCAGCAGCAGCTCGCACTGACAACGCACTTTGCCCCGTGGCTGCCACAGCAGCGCCGCCGCTGCTCGCCTCATCGTCCTCCTCATCCTCAAACAGCTGCTGCACCCACCCAATCACGCGCCCCATGCTGTGAAACAATCCCCGCTTCTGCTGGCCCCCCTGCTGCCCCCCCTGCTGCCCCCCCTGCTGCCCCCCCTGCTGCCCCCCCTGCTGCCCCCCCTGCTGCCCCCCCTGCTGCCCCTCCTGCTGCCCCCCCTGCTGCCCCCCCTGCTGCCCCCCCTGCTGCCCCCCCTGCTGCCCCCCCTGCTGCCCCCCCTGCTGCCCCCCCTGCTGCCCTTCTTGCTGCAGCCCATCCATCATTCCACCCGCCCTCTCCTTTGCTGCCTTTTCTCCCTCCTCACTTGCTGATACCAGAAGCTTCTCAGCTGCTTCTCTTGTCCCACCCATCGCATCCCCGCTGTCACCTCTGCCCTTGCCATGCCCGCCTCCCTCCTCCGTTCCACTCCCCTTCTCTTCCACGCCCCCTCCAACTGCTTCCCCCGCTCCCTCCGCCCCCCCTACTCCCTGTGCCCCAGCGCCTCTCCCCCATGCGTGCCGGCATGAGTGTGCGGCGCTGAGCAGAGCAGCGAGGTGGGAGGGCGAGGCGGAGAGGGCGAGGGGCAGCAGGCGCAGGGAGAGGCAGGCGCGCTGGGGCACGGCAAGAGCAACACAGGGCGGGGTGATGGCGATGCGGGAGGTGAGGGACACAGCGGAGAGGAGCGGCACTGGCGGGAAGCGTGTGGAGAGGGGGGAGTGTTGTGGGCGTGAAGGGGGGGTTGGGTTGGGTGGCAAATAACAGAGGGAGTGGGTTTGGGGCGAGGGACGTGAGAATCGCGACGAGTAAGTGAATGGTGAGAAAGATTGATCCCAAACGGCATGCACTGGCTCAAGGACTTGCCGTAGATACAGTGGCATACAAGGCGAGCAATGAGTGACAGATGGGGGAGCAGAACGGGGACTAGCGCCTGCCTGACAGGAAAATGGCTTGCATGCTATCATGAGGGCAATTTGCCATAGCCTTGCTCCACGGACCTTGGCTGGCCTGACACGTGGCGTTGTGTGATTGGCTAGATGTACTTGCGACATCCACCGACAGGCCAGTAACTTCCAGAACCTTCCTCACGCCTTCCTCTGGTGGCTGGGAAGGATGTGAGGAGAGTTGAATGCGTGTGCGTTGCAGGCAAGGCGACGAGGGCACAGGGGCGCTTGGAGGGGGAGGGGTGCAGCACGATGCTGAGCAGATCAGATGCGCGGGGAGGCATGGGGATGCATTGTGCTATACGTGTTGTGCAGCGCTATGGGCTATGGGTGGCATGTCACGCATGCTGCCATGCTGTCACACCTGTGCGAGTGAAAGATGGGCATGAATGGATAGGAGAAGCAGCACAGCAGGAGGGTGGGAGCAGCGCGCACCACAAAGGCAGGGGTCCAGTCAGGTGCAGTGGAGTGGAGGAGGAGCTTATCGCAGCGCAGAGACAGCACAGCAGACGGCGTGGAGTACTGCAGGAGCACGTCCGTTACAGTCACACTCGCGTTCAGCACGGTGTGCTGCAAGAACGCCCGCAGCCCCCCTAGCGCCAGCAGCTCCGCCAGCTCCTCCCTCGCATGCCCCGCCTCGCTGCTGCTGCTGCCCTGCGACGACTCTGAGTCCGTGTCGCTCCCACCACCACCGCCCTCCTCCTCCTTCCCTGCTCCATCGCCCCCCCTCTCGCCCCCACCACCGCCCCGCTCACCCTCTTTTGGCCCCATCCCCTGCTGCCCCCCAGCGCCCCCCCCACTTTCCCTTGCACCCTCCTCGCCCCCCTTGCCACCGCAATTCCCTCCACTCCACACCCTCTCCTTCCCCTCCGTCCCCTGCCCTCCAACCCCCCCTCCCCCCGTTGCCTCCACGTGCACGCGCACGCCATGCAGCGCCACGGCCACGGGGTGCGAGCCCAGCGCGGCCCACGGGATGCTCACGCGCAGCTCGCCCACCCACGCGCGCCGCACCGCCACGCGCACGTGAGGGGGGACTGGCAGAGGGTGGGCGCGGGGGGGTGGGGGGCATTGAGGGGGTAGGGGAAGGTTCTGTGAGCATGAGGGCGGTGTGGGGGGAATCAGTGCAGGTCATGCACCCGCTTTCGCCGCACAAATGTGTGCAAAGCAGGGAGTGAGGAAGAGCAAGATGTAAGAGGAGTGAGGAGGGGCGATGGGGAGTTGTGGTGCGGAACGCTGGCAGAGCCATGCAAAGGGGGCCGATGTGATGTGAGGGCTTCAAGCGTGGCCATGCAAAGGGGGCCGATGTGAGGGCCTCAAGCGCGGCCATGCGAAGACGACACCGGCTCCTCGCGCCTCCTCTTTGCCTTGGGCCTACTGAACATGTCGCCACTCCGTGCGACGCACCTGGCAGGTTGAGCTCGAAGTTTCTGAGAGTGAGGGAGCCGCCCGAAAGCGACACGCTGAGGTCGGACGCCGCCGCGCCGTCGGCATCGCGGATGTACGCGCGCAGCACGCGCAGCACGCGCAGCAGCACCTGCGGGCGGCAGTGGGGCGGCAGTCAGAGGGGCGGGAGGCCGAGAAGACGGACGCAGAAGGCAGGGAACAAGGTGGCGGTGGTGAACGAGGGAAGGAGACGGAAGAGAGAGCGCGGCGAGGCGGGGGAGCAGGGTGGGCGGGAGAAGGGGACGGCAGGAGCGGATTCGGCGGAGATGGCGGGTGGGCGACGGGCGGGAGGAGGACGAGCGAGCGGAGTCATGCGGTAGGAGCGGAGAGCGCGCACCTGCGACATGAACGACGACGCCATGGCTCCCTGAGCGATCCGTTACAGCATCACACGAGTGGCCGTGCGAGCGGGATTGTGTCGGTCATGTCTCTGGACAGTGGCGGGTTTCCCATTGGATTTCGTGTCTGCTAGTTTCTGTTGATCAACGGAAGGTCTGGTGTGTGTGAAACATGATTTCGTGTCTGCTAGTTTTCCCCGGTACAGGATGATCCGGGAATATATCATTCAATGTAATTCTGTTCCAAAGTGAATAAGTTACAGTAGCAATTTCCAAGCTGAAACGAAAGCGGCGTACTAAAAAAACACTTGGTGAGGTTTGTCATAGAAAGTCTCTCACATATCAAAAAAATAAAATTTGTATCCACAAGAATGATCCTCCTCAACATGGCATACCATATGGCCCCGGATACAAGCGCAGGCCTATTAAAATTGAATGCGCTTCTATTTGGAGCTGTTGGAAACAATTAATTCTAAAGCGCCTCTATCGTGTCGAAACACCAAGTCAGAAGCGAAGCGAAGTATATCGAAGCACCGGCGAGTCAACCCTCGGAGGTTGAGCAGTTGCTAGAGGTTACACGAAAGTCAAAGGTCAGCGCCTTTTTGTGGAAATGAAGAACAAGGATGGTTGAACTATGAATGAAGTGAGTACATATAGGAAACCCTAATTGGGTTGTACCCCCTATGGGATACCCCACTATAGCCTACACAACAGCATAAGCTATATAATGTTCTGACACACCCCCATAGGCAAAGTGGGGGAGAACAAGGGGTCACAAGACCAGTCAAGCAAAGCAGAGCAAGCTCAGGGTGGATCACAAAGTCACCACACAGTCCGAGCACAACGACAAGGCCACAAGGCCAGTTCACATGCAGGAGTACACATATATATATAGAGCTAGACAAGCAAGAGCATGTATATATATGTAACAGTACAAGCAAGGTCAAGAAGAGAGCAAGTGAGGCAAGACAGGTACAAGACCCAGCTGGGTGCAGAAGCGCTGATGGTCACAAGGCGCAAGTGCCTTGGTGAACACATCAGCAGTGTTGGCCTCAGAGGCCACGTAAGCAAGTCGCAACTGACCACGCTGCTGCAGCTCACGAGCAAGAAAGTAACGGAGAGCAATGTGCTTCGTTCTGTGCTCCAAGCGCTGCTCTCGACACAAGGCCAGCATGGCTTTGTTGTCTACGTACAGCACTGGAGGAGAACGAGGCGGCTCTCCAAGGTCAGTCAGCAGGTAGGTGAGCCAGCGAAGCTCCTGTGCAGCCATGGCCCCGGCGTAGATCTCAGCCTCACAACTGGAGCTGAGAACAGAGGACGAGCGAGTAGCCCGCCACGAGACAGAGCCGGAACCAAGACTGAAGGTGTAACCCTGCGACGACCGCTGTGTAGCCTGGTCGTCTGCCCAAGAAGCGTCCGCGTGCCCAGTGAGGACCACTGGACTCCGCCCTCCAAGCACTAGCCCCATGCCCGACGTACTGCACAAGTAGCGCAACACCCTCTTAGCTGCAGCCATGTGCTCTGGTCGGTGTCTCCCAGGAGCAACATAGCGTGCGAGAATGCTAAGAGGGTATGCAAGGTCAGGTCGTGTACAGGTCATCAGGTACATGAGGCAGCCAACAAGCTCTGGGTACGGGCCACTCGACTCTACGGACTCATCCGAAGGCAGAGCTGAGAGCGAGTGGCGAGTAGACAGAGGAGTGGCCTGAGGCGAGGAGTACGTGAAGCCGAAGCGCTGAAGGACCTGCTGCACCATGTGTGACTGAGTCAAGGTAATGGTGCGGCGTGCTCTGTCCCGAGTGATCTGCAAGCCAAGGTAGCTGCGCAGTTCACCCAGGTCTGTGCACGTGTGTCTCTTCTGCAGCTCGGACTTCACGTAGGCTAGTCCAGCAGTGTCAGCTGTGGCAAAGACCAAGTCGTCGACGTACACGAGGACGTAGAACGGCGGCAAAGAAGTGTCGGTGCGCAGAAACAACGACGGGTCAGCAGTAGAGGGAGCAAACCCAAGAGCCGCAAGCGTAGTCCTCAGTGTGTCGTGCCACTCACGCGGTGCCTGGCGGAGACCGTAGACTGGCCGTCGGAGGCTCCACTGGGTGCCAGGAGGAAAAGTCCCAGTGAAGCCAGGTGGACGGCGCAGCCAGATCTCCTCGTGCAGGCTACCCTGCAAGAAAGCAGTACTGAAGTCAAGAGAGTGGAGCTCATAGTCGCGCTGAGCGGCTATGTGTAGCAGCACCCGAAGAGTGGTCATCTTCGGGGTGGGAGAGAAGGTCTGAAAGTAGTCAACTCCCTGCCGCTGACTGAAGCCACGAGCGACGTACCGCGCCTTGAAGACAGGTGGAGAGCCCGGCGGCCGCTTCACCCTGAAGATCCACATGCCACTGACGATGTTCGCCCCAGGAGGGGGAACCGCGTCAACGTAGGTGCCTGTGGACTTCCAGGACGCCATCTCTGCATCCATAGCTGCCTGCCACTGAGAGGAGTAGGGACCCTCTACGGCCTCCGCGTAAGAGCGCGGAGTCGGGATGTCTAGTGCATCCGGGTCTCCCTCAGGGGCAAGTAGTACGGACGCGAGATGAGGTGAAGCAGCAGCCAGACACCGGAACTCCTCCTGCCTGTCCTCAAGGACGTCCGTGCCAAGAGCACACTCACCCCCGACGGACGGAGGACAGACAGACGCAGACTCAGCAACAAGACCGGCAGCGTAGTCTAGACGACAGCGAGCAGCAAAGTCGACGAGCTCAGCAACAAGCGCAGACGCAGCAGTGGACTCAAAAGAGGGGTCAGTGACGACAGTAGCAAGGAGACGTGTGACAGCAGGACTGGCAGCACGAAGAGAGTCCGACTCCGGGTCAGGAAGAGCAGGAAGAGAGGACTCAGGAGGAGAAGGCAAAGGGGCACGCAGAGGAGCAGTGGACGGACGCAGAGACATCCGGTGCGTGCCAGGGACAGGAGGAGGACGTTGACGCGAACCACGACCACTAGTGCGAGCAGCACGGACAGGCGACGCAGGGCGAGACGCAGGCTCACGACGCTCAGCAAGACCTCCAGTAGGACCAGTGTAGGGAGAAGGAGCGGGCAGTGGGGAGGCCGGCCGTAACTGTAACTGTGACAGGACAGGCTGTGGACACTCTAAGGGAGGAGGAGGACCAGTAGAAGGCGGGAGACCAAGAACCTGCTGAAGGAGCGGAACGAAGTACGGTCTAGGCCGCGCGGCGACTCCAGACACAGCAGGGACAGCACCAGTACCCCCAGCGGCAGCACCAGCGCCAGCAGCACCTCCAGCTCCAGGACCTCCAGCAGCACCAGTAGCACCCCCAGCAGGACCGCCTCCAGGACCGAAAGCAGTAGCCTCAGCGTCAACGCCCTCAGCAGCTCCAGCTCCAGTACCTCCGGGACCCGCGGCACCAGCACCCTCAGTAGCCGAAGAACCTCCAGCTCCAGCAGCACGCCTCCAGCGCCGGGCAAACCACTCGCGCAGCTCCTGTGGAGAGAGGGGCTCCCGCCGAGGCGAAGCACCCAGAGAACCGCCAGGTCCCGCACCGCCAGACGCCACAAGGGGAGGTCCAGTGGCCGCAGGCTCCGCAGCACCAGGCTCAGCACCCCCAGTAGCAGCACCCCACGGCTCAGCACCCCCAGACTCCGCACCCCCAGGCTCAGTACCCCCCGTCGCAGCACCCCCAGGCTCAGCACTCCCAGACTCCGCACCCCAAGGCTCAGCACCCCCAGTCGCAGTACCCCCAGGCTCAGCACCCCCAGACTCAGCACCCCCAGGCTCAGCACCCGCAGCAGGACCAGAGTCACCAGCAACCTCGACCGGCTCGACTGCGTCTACCTGGGACACACCTGAAGGGGCAGGACCCTGAGGGGGTAGGGGGTCTACCGGGGGGGGACCTGGCACAAGGAAGTGCGGTGGCGGGGGGAGGGAAGGAGTGCGGTAGGGGAAGAGGCGGTAGAAGGGGACTGACTCGTCGAACGTGACGTCCTGGGAGGACAGAACACGACGAGAGGAGGGGTGGTAGAACTGCCACCCTGGAGCGTCAGGGGGGAAGCCGAGGAAGACACAGGGAGCAGCACGAGGGGACAGCTTGTCCGCAGACAAGTCGCGGACAAACGCCCGAGATCCCCAGACACGGAACGCAGACGCATCGCCGACCTTCCCCGTCCACAGCAGAGCTGGGGAGGTCTCCGGCCGGGAGACCCTGGGGTGAAGGTTGATCTGATGCGCCGCGTACCGAACCGCAAACGGCCACAGAAAATGGGGGGCAGCCGCATGCATCATGGACGTACGAGCGACGTCCATGACCATGCCAATGCGACGCTCAGCAATCCCATTTTGCTGTGGAGAGTCCGGAAGCGTAAAGGTCTGGCGGATGCCTCGTGCACGACAGTAGGCTCGCAGAAGGCCAGAGGAGAACTCTCCACCTCGGTCAGAGTGCAGACGCAGAACAGGAAAGTCCGAGCCGAAGCTCCTCCTAAGCTGGAGACGAGCTGCGCGGATCCAGTCGATCAACACCTCAGTGACCTCACCCTTGCTGCGCAAGGGGAAGACTGTGGTGTAACGCGAGTAGTCGTCAACCACCAGCAGGAAGTAGCGCTCGTGACCCTGCCCACGGACGCGGGCGGGGCCCCACACGTCCATGTGAAGCGTCTGCAGAGGAGCCTCTGTGGGGGGAAACTGGGAGGAGTGGGGGGCAGCCCGGAGCCGCCCCTCGACACAGGGGACACAAGAAGGTCCGGGTCCCGAAGGAAGGGGAGGGAGAGACCGGGGAAGACCAGAGACAAGGACACGGGAAGCCATGCCCCGAAGACGAAGCAAGGAGGGGTGGCCAAGACGGTGGTGCCACAGGAGAGTCTCGTGAGACAGGCGGCGACACGAGCAGGGGGCAGACTCAGGACCAGACCTGGACGCAGCAGCAAACACCTGACCCGACGCAGCTACCAGGCCAGACGCAGGGACAGGAGGAGACGCAGTGGTCAGTGTGTAGAGACTCGACCCTGGCCGACGCGAGAACGTGGCCAGGTG